TATATATATATATATATATATTTGGTTCATATATATATTATTAATTAATTTACATATTCTAGCTATAGTTACAGTGAAATTACCATAGGATTTCAACAGTAGATAACCTCAAAATCTAGCAAAAGGTGAAATAATTGACCTATATATATAAGGCTGCTAAAATTTTTGAATGACTATAAATATATTTATTAATTATATTTGAGCAGATAGGCCTGGAAATATCAGCATATTAGTTACATGGAGCCATGTGTCCAAGATTGTCTCATGATTTTGTTGTTGTTCAAGTTGAATGTATATATTATGGGGGTGTCTATATGTACACCCCCTCAAGTGTAAAAAAGGGGTGTACATATAGCACTTTTCTTTGTGTAATTTATTAAAAGGGGGTGTACATATAGCATTGCCCATATATTATTTATGTTGACTAGTGATTGTGCAATAATTTTTTTTTTTTTTTTTTGAGTGAAATCTGAATTTGTGGCCCAAATGGAAAATCCGCATATTCTATTTTTTTTTTTTTCAAATGATAGATGATATTATAAATCAAAAGTGCACAAATATACGAATACAAACAACCAACGGCTGAAAAGTGGAGGAAATGTCAGAAGATCGCCTAGAATCCCGACTAACAACGCTAAAATAAAAACTCCCAACAAAACGAACAACTAAAACAACTAAAAAAAGTCCAACAAAGTAATACCCGACTATCAAATCGGATCCCAATAAGATAATAAATGTGACGCCCCAACACACAGAGACCAAACGGCCCAAACAAAAAACACAGAGCTAAGCATAATGCATATGTTAAAACACAGACCTAAACGTAATACAAGCATATTCCAGTTTTAGTATATTTATAATCATAAAAAGTCGAAAATACAAAAATAAAATAAAATTTATAGGTAAATGATGCAACTTTTCTCCGTATTAAATCACTACAATCTTTAATCAAAGAAAAATGGGGCCTAAAATTGTAGGAACCCAAAAGGTAGCCCATTTATCGGCCCAACAAAATATTCCAGATATCTAAAGAGGAAATGACAAAAGGAAACAAAATGCCGAAAAAGGTGAGAATAAACTGCAATATAATTACACCACGAGCCGAACCTTACCCGTGGTTTGACCGGACCGGTTCCGGGCCAGATACATGTACTTTTGAGTTGTCAGGCCCGTTCCGAACCGAAATCGAAACCATTGGTTCAACCTTTTATTAATATTTTTCAATTATATATATTTTTAAAATGAATCGAGCCGGTCCACAACCGACGGTTCACCTAACCGACCCTTCCATATATTTTGACCGGTTTAAGGCCTTACAACCCTTGGCTCGGATTCGGGCCCATAATCGGATTTGGCCATTGTTGTTGCAATATGGATCCACAGGGTACGATCCCACTCAAGGGTTGGATAATCCACCGAGTTGAGTAGACGTGAAGACTGAAGAGAGACATAATTGAATCTCACCCGCCTCAAATCCATGGATATCACTCTTTATTATTATTATTAGAAGATGTTACGGTCTTGTTACGGAACCATCCCGTCAAGATTTGTAAACGTTGAATCAATTATCTCTGACGGTTACATGATGATCCAACAGTTACAAATCCCAACGGAATGATTCCGTAACGGGACTTTAACATTTCCCATTATTATTATTATTATTATTATTATTATTATTATTATTATTATTATTATTATTATTATTATTATTATTATTATTATTATTATTACACTTCTTTTTCCAACCATTATTGAATTTATAAAATTAAACAAATGACACTGTTTGCTAACAATAGGTAGATCATAAATAATAAGGGGGTGTTTGTTTATAAATTTTTTTAATTCATACTAAAAAATTTAACTCAACTTTAATCGAACTCCACTATTTTCAATATTATTAATATGATTAAATAATATCAATCATTCTTACACATTATATCAACTGGAACTCACTATTCATTTATTCACATAATTTTAACTAACCATCACTTTACATCATATATTTCTTAATTTTACATCAAATTAACTTTAACTATATTATTAAAAATATTATTTTAATTTAAACTCAAAATTCCACTAACAGTTAATCATACCACCATTTTCAAATAACCACGATTAACAAAAAAACTCGTTTCGAGCGAATATGTCTGTATCCAAACACGCCCTAATTATACTAATTGATTTGCCTGTTTATTAAAGATTTGGTACTAGCCATGAGCTTATATTTATACGTTGTTTGCTGCGGATGTTTTCCAAATAAATGTTGTTTTATTGATTTCTTTAAAAAAAAAAAAAAAATAGCAATTTTGGGGAAGAAAATGATCAAACGAGCTATTTGACTAAAAGTTGTGTAAAAATGATCAAATGAGCTAAATAAATGCTTAAAAATAATAAAATT